TTTTTTTTTTTAGATATCGGCTTCTTCGAATCGGTAAGTTTGAAGCAAAACTTACATATATATTTTTTTCTTTTTGATTTTTTTTTTGATTTTTTTTTTTTTGTAGATATCAGTTTTCGACTTTGAACTTGAATATGCCGATATGGTAAGTTTTGATTTGAAAATTAAAAACATTATTTTTTAATTTATCTTTTTTTTAATTTTTCTTGTATTTTTTTTTTAATAGGTGTCGGCTTCTTCAGCTTTGAGACTTTGATCTGGTAAGTTTCAATTTGAAATTTGAAACTTTTAATATATTTATTTTTTTAATTTTTCGTATTTTTTATATAGGTGTCGGCTCCTTTGGCTTTAGAACTTTGATCTGGTAAGTTTCGATTTGAATTTCGAGACTTATGTTTTTTTTAATTTGTTTTTTTTTTAATTTTTCTCGTATTTTTTATAGGTGTCAGCTTCTTTGGCTTTAGGACTTCGATCTGGTAAGTTTTGATTTGAATTTCAAAACTTATGTTTTTTTTAATTTATTTTTTTTAATTTTTCTCATATTTTTTTATAGGTGTCAGCTCCTTCGGCTTTAAGACTTCGATCTGGTAAGTTTCGATTTAAATTTCAAGACTTATGTTTTTTTTAATTTATTTTTTTTAATTTTTCTCGTATTTTTTTATAGGTGTCGGTTTCCTTTGGCTTTAGGACTTTGATCTAATAAGTTTCGATTTGAATTTTGAAACTTAATTTTTAATTTATTTTTTTTTTAATTTTTCTCGTATTTTTTTCAGTTATAAGTGTTGATTCCTTCAGCTTTAGGACTTTGATCTGGTAAGTTTCGATTTAAAAATTTGAAACTTATTTTTTTAATTTATTTTTTTTTTAATTTTTCTTGTATTTTTATATAGGTATCGCCTCCATAATGGGATCAGTAAAGCATTCAGATCGTGTGTCAGTAATGGTGACTTCAGTAAGAACGGAGAAGACACAGGAGCACGTAACGATAGATTATTTACAGGGAACAACCGAGACTGCAGGTCCTTTCTAAGTTTATGTTACTTAATACACAATATTCTTCTAAAGGGAAATTTGGATTCTTTTTCGCGTTTTCAGTTGTACTAATTAATTTAATTTGTTTATTTACTTTTGATTTTGATTTATGCATAGAAATTTCAACTACATTTATAATTATGTTAATGTTGATCATGTCTAGCAAGGCGGTGATGATGTTTATATTGGCATTTCTTCTGTTTGGTGATGTTGCGAGACATTTTCAACTAATGGAGCAAGGAATTGTGTTAGGACCATATATCTTGATACAATTGCTATTGTATAGACGCAAAGAAGTTAAAGATAACCTGTCATGACTGAATGTTTATTAGTGTAGGATTGAATTACATTTACTATCTCTTGTGGGACCAGTTGATGGAGAATCAAATATATGTCGTGCGTATTGTCATTTACGTTGGCTAAACAATGAACGCTATTAAGGATGAATTTAGAAGATTTTTAAAGAAAATGTTTATTATAAAAGTTGTGAATGAGTGATACTACTGGAAATGAAAGCAGTAAGTTTCACAATACCTGTTACGAAACTTCAGTTGTTTTTGTTTTATTTTTATTTTTAATAGAATTAGCTAATATTTTTGGATTAATTAGATTAAGTAGTATAGATTTTATAGTAGACTTTAGTATAGATTGTTATAATGTAATTTAATAAAATAATTTATTATTCAATAATATTTAACATTGACATATTAACATAAATAATAAAATATTGATATGATGTTTATTATCTTAAAATAATGTACATCATTAATGAACATTAAATTTAGGTGATGCACATCAAATGTTGTGACATCGGTAGTACATTGCAGGGTCCGATGTTCAGCGTTTCTTTATGATGTACATCAAGTGACTGATGTACATTTGATGAACATTTTTCCTGTGACTTCCTGATGAGTTCTTTATTTTCCTTTTTTTTCAATGTGATTTTTTACGACCAGCATGGTTTATATATATATATATATTTATTTAATTAATAATTATTTCATTTTTTTTAATAATTTTTTAAAACCGTTTTAATTTACTTTTTTATCTAAATTTATTTTTAATTTATTATCATTTTTTTTAAAAAATAACTATTTTTAATATAACAATTTTTTTTTTAAAAAAAGGTTTTTTAAACCGTTGTACTTTATAAGACATGGATATATTTAATAAGATAATTGTTTTATAGCAAATACTTTTTTAAAAAGTTGTTAAAAAAATAACTGGAAATAAAAATTTAGGTAATACAAATACGACATTAAATTCAACTGACCGGACATGAACAGGTCTATTGTGATTTGATCTGAGTCATCTGATCAAATCCGATCATTTGAAGTCAAATTTATTTGATTCAGTCAAATCAAATTAGTCAAATTTATTTGATTCGGTCAAATCAAATTGGTCAAATTTATTTGATTCAGTCAAATCAAATTGATTTGGATTTGATTTGAATTTAATTTGGATTTGATCGAATTAGTTTAGGCTGATTCGAATTTGATTTGAAATTGAATCGAATCTTATATTTTTAATTTGGATTTGAAGCTCAAATCTGGATTTAAAATTCGAATCTGATTTGCAAATCAAAATTTTCGAATTGAATCAAATCAAATTACGAATCAAATTTGAATCGATTCGATTTGACTGAATCGTTTGCGGAACACTAAACAGTCATGACAAAAAGGCTAAGTAATAAAATGATAAGTGTTTTGATAATATTGTAATGAAATATAAGAGTATCACTAATAATTATTAGTAGTAGAAAATTAATAATAATGATAGTAAACAATGTAAGAGTTTCTTAAAGATAGAAATCTATCAAACAAATAATAACAAACACAAAGGTAAAATAAATAAAATACGCGAAAAGTTTACTATAAAGAAAAACTAACAAACAAATTATACAAAACACAATACTTCAGATAATACAATATAAACTTACTGTTAAATTTACCCAGGTGTTAACAATCTAAAAAATATTGCTCTATATATGTTTACATTTTCACACATGACAGTTTGAACTTATCAATATTATCATATTATACTAATATGATTAATCAATCAATTGTCCTTTTTCCATTGCAATTATCTGCAAAAACCTTTTCATTACCATTTCGTATAAGTTCTATGTGTCTATATGATTCATCAACTATATAAAGTTCAAGAAACTTCTCTAGCTAAACTAATAAAGCAATTTTCTAAGGTTATAATAATTAAACTGATACTTATAATTGAATACTTATGAGTCAAAAGTACTAATAATACTAAAAGTAGTTAATTAATATAAATATTATAAGAAATGTTTCATATTGTAATAAACTCAGCCATAATTATAGGATTTTTACGTACTATATCATGTGACTTGTTCAATCTTTAATTATTTTTATGGGTAACCCTAACAATAATCTTTAATTAATTCTATTTTAAGCAAAAATTTTGGTAATACTAACATGCAAACTATCCATAGGTGTTAAAATGTCTGAAAACTTGTCTGAA